AAACTCCTGTTTTCTGTTCATTAAAAGCACTAAACTGAGTTCATTAAATGCTTTTTTTTTAATTTTCTGTTGAATTTTATAAAAACAAAAAGGTGGTTTGAAAAGGACAGACGTTCTCATGACTACATAATCAATAGATCTCCAGGCTTTCTAAAGGGCTTTCAATGTTTTTCTTAATTTTAGCTACTTTTCCACCCATTTTCCATCCATCCATCCATCCATCCATCCATCCATTATCTTTATCCGCTTCCTTCTTTTCAGGTCACGGGGGTCACTGGTGCCCATATCCAACAATCACTGTGCGAGAGGTGGGGGGCACCCTGGACAGGTCTCAAGTCCATCACAGGGACACATAGAGACAAATGAGACAAACAACCATTCACTCTCTCACTCACACCTAGGGACAATTTAGAGTTACCAATCAAACATGCATGTTTTTGGTCTGTGGGAGGAAACCGGAGTACCTGGAGAAAACTCACGCATCCACGGAGAGAACATGCAAACTCCACCCTGAATGGTCCCTGTGCTGGGATTTGAACAGGGTTGACCTGCTCGCTGAGAGGTGCCCCCAACCATTTTCCATCTGGTGTAAAGGATTTTTTGTTCACTGAGTCATTTCACTCCGGCCTATGGTTCATTCAGACTTTAGAGACGAAGCAGTGTCATGTCAACGTTCAAACTTAGTAAAACATTTGTTTTAAATTGGATTAAGATTTTATTATCTGTTATATGCTGCTGATTTCTTGCTTTAAGCTGCTATAATACCCATCTGCTCACAACAGACTCATGTTCAGGCTGCTGTTTAATTTACTGTATTATACAATATTTTTATACCTTGTATACTGTTTCTTTTAATATTTTATGTTTTAGCTATTTTGGGGTGAAACTGGGGCTTAATTTCGTTCCACCCCATGTACCACATGTGATGTGAATGACAATAAAGAAACTTGAACTTGAACTAAATGTTTGTCCAATAATTCTGGACTATCTTAGCAGCAAATCAGCCACAAAAACACAGTTTGTTCTGCAAACAGTTCAGATAACACAGTTTGATACAAAAAGTCGCATTTTATCTCCAACAAGTTTGTCCCTAAAGAGCTAATATACTTAAACTGAAAAGATGACGCCTCTCTCAGGTCCCGTCAGGTGGATTTTTCTTCCGGTTTCTTTAAGACACGACTTTTCAGTCGCTGATCGTCTCTTCTTTTATCCGTTTCTGCTCATTTTTCAAGTCGCACAGTGAACAAAATGTTAACATTAGGTAAAAAGGCTAAAAAATAAAATAAAAAACGGTGAAAAGAGCCATGAATGTAAAAAAAAAAAGTTTAGAAATTAAATTGTTTAGCTCTCTTTAGGAGTTATAATAGTTGAATGAATGCCAGAGGAGAAAAAGTCCACGAAAAGGTCCGCTTGCAAGAAAACCATGAAACTATTACAGGTCATTTATTGTTTTTTGCAATAAGATTTATACATTTCTAAATAAATTTTCACTTTGGTTAAACTTAATATTGTCAGTTAGTTTAGTAAAGTTTACTGAGTGTGACTCTAAACCACTTATTCAGTGTTTGTTGTCAAAAATGCTCAAATTCTGAGTCGTCTGACCAGATTTTAGCTAATTTTTTTGTTTTAGCCCATATAAAGTGTTTTCTAATATTATTTCCAATGTATTACTATGATTAAGACACTTAAAAAGTTGTTAATTCTTTAAGTATTTAGCCCCGGTTCTTTATTTTAAAGCAAAACTAACAGATTTGAGCTAAATTATAAACCAAGGTGTCGTCATTTAATCTTTTTATTGTTGTTTTAGATGGTTTATTGTTCTCTGCTTGTATTAAATTGTTTAATTTGACACTTTTTCTTAAAACAGCCAGCTCTTATTGTTTTTTTTTTAAATATTATCATCTATAATCAGCTTCTCATTTACACGTAAAACTTTTATTTTTTAATTTTCCTCAATGAGCAGTTTAAGTTTGATGACTTTTGAGGGGCTAAACTGAAAATAGTTAGTATTTTTGTGTCAGATTTAGTTGTGCAGAGTTGGTTTAATTTCATTTTCTTGAGCCTCTCCCAGACTGACTCAGGACCTCACCTCTCCTTCAGCTGCACTCGCCACGCTCGTGTGTTTCAAAGTAACAAATTAACTTTTTTCTCCCCCTAAAGGCATGATTTACTCACTTGATTTCTTGGAGGGGCCCTTATAACCAAGCATTGCTCCGAAACATTCCCTCAGAGGTCACCGGCAGATATTTGTGTGGTATATTATCATATTACACTGTAAAAAATATCACGTTTCATTAAAGCTGCTAAATGATGAAATCGAAGGTAAAAACATTTAATCGAATGGTTCAGTTTGATTTACTTCACGTTTTATGGTAAATGTTGATATAAAACTGAAACGCGGGTCCACACTTCGAATCATTTCGTGAGTAAACAAACCCACGTGCTAGCTGCAGCCGTTAATTTTAATTTAAGGACACGTTAAACATCACCGTGCGTCTCGTCAACAGAACCGCCTGCTCGCAGGTGGGTTTGCGCTTTCCGTGTCGTGGCTCGTGCACGGCCCGACTGGTCTGGCAACATTGTGGCAGCGTCACGAAGCGGCAACGAGCTGTGGCAAAACCTGTTGGTTCGGAAAACAAAAAAAGCGAAAGTGTGAAGGGGGAGCAGCAGGGAGAGAGGAAGTGTCTGATGGGGAAGATGAAATCCAGCTTCCTCTTCCTTCAACAGCCTCCAGACAAACCAGGAGGTTGCTTTCAGCCTGTTTCTGCACCTGTGGGGGCGGGTAGTTTCTCCAAATTTATAAAAAAAATAACAATAGAGCAACTTTTTTCAGCATGAGGTGCATTTAGTTTGGCTGAGACTACAGGGAAAGGAACCCAAATCAAAGAGGGAGGGTAAAGAATCAGCATGTCTGCAGCTCATTCATGACCGCAAAGAGAAGCCAGATAATATTCTCTGCTACCATTGAATCACTGACACCTGGAAGATTTGTTTTCACACAGGCCCTAAGGCTGGACAACCCCACCCTTAACCTATAAGCAAGCATGTCCCTGCACAACATCCTCCAGGGGTGGTGGTGGAAAATGGGAAGGGGGGGGGTGGATATGAGCGATGTGTGACTTTTGTCATTCCTTTTACTTTTTGCTCCCTTCATGAAAGCATAACCACATCCTCCTCTCCCGAGAGACGTTTCCCTCTTTCACAAAAGCCTGGAAGGATTGTTGTCTCTCTTTTCTTGGGGATAAAGGTGCATGGGGTGATGGGGGGGGGGGGGGGGGGGTAACAGCCGGAAAGGTAGAGGAGGGAGGATTTTTCTCACAACGATAAGCTTTCTCTCAAGGAAGTCATGACGACCGGCTGTCAGGATTCACCAGGCAAATGACGCTGATCTTTTGCCATCGGCTCCTGATCTTCTCTCTGTCGAAACAGTCCGACAGCTGAAGCTTTATTTCCATACTAGCTGGATTTAGTCAAATGCTGGGAGATGGTGAACAGCTCCTCTGTTCCTACCTGTGGGCCAAACCACAGATGGAGGAGATAAATGAGCAGTGCTGACCCGTGAACCAAATGATGTGTACAGGCCAAGCTTCAGGATTGTTTGTATCCAAAACAAAAGTTACACGTGGCCTGCAGCGGTCACATCAGGACGAAGCAGCCCTGTAATTATAAAAGTGATTGACTTTAGGTGCTGATAAATGGATGCTTTAAATCCATTTCTCTGCTTTCTCTCATCCTTCACACCACTTTTTAAAAAAAAGTAACCCTGCTTCCCCTTGTTGATGCAGTATTTCTTTGACATTATATTATTAATATAACAAAGCTAAATAAAAATAAATGTTTTAATGGATAAAAAGTGGAACGTTGTAGCTGGAAAACTGTAGCTTAAAATAACTATATATGTCCCCAAAAAGAGCACAGAGAATCTGAGTTTTAGTTAAAGAAAACGCATAAAAAGCATCTAAATCTGTAGTTGTAACAGATATATATAAAAATAAACTGAACTAAGATTGATAAATAATAAAAAGTCGCCACCCAGTGTTGGTCAAATTCAATAATCCTAACAGCAACACAAATCATTGCTAAAACTGTTGACTGTTATAATAATAGCATCATTATAATAATATTTCCATATACTGTGCATTTGATGGTTAAAACATGGATAGTCAATCAGTTTTACTTTATGTGTAGAGACATGTTCCAGCAAAAGGCTGTTCACAAGAATTTTTTTGTTTTTGCAAAACAGATTAAAATGGGTTTTGAGAAAAATCTAAACAAGAACAAAAAAACTCCAGAGCTAATTCAGGAAAATCTCATTAAATTCCAAGTAGATGTTGTAATGCAAGAAAATTTTATATAAAACGAGTTTTTATCTAACTTATCCTAGTAGAATTGCAAAGTGTCTGTAAAAATAGTAATGCTAGAAGAGAAAGTAAATAAAAATACAACAAAACCAATCATTTAAAAACAGTATAAAAAAAAATTAATAACAGGTGGTGGAGTCAACTAAATAATTACCTTCTGTTATCTGTTTCACAGCATGACAGAAAACCAATAATGCAGATTAAGTAGTTACTCACAAACAAACATTAAACAATAACTTGTTCCGTCTTTGATTGCAAACAGTCGGTTATTTATTCAAAAAAGCTAAAAAATAGCTTCATTTGCTTTCAGAGGCTTTAATGTTTTAGTTTTGTGTGAATATGAGCCACAGATTTCACCGGAAATATGCAGTAACCAAACTTTGCCACATGGGGGAGACACTTTCAATCAAATGTAGCCCCGCCGCATTCACGGTTTCCTCTAGAAAATCGAAGAAAATAATTACCCACTCACTGTTGAACTCACTGAAGAAGTTACTCTCCTCTGCGTGCTTCACACAAATTTATTATATGACAAATCTTAAACTTCAGCAATGTCAGATTAGTCATAATTTTTTAGTCGTGGCGACCGTCAATTGTTAAAATGTACGATTTCTATCTTTCCTGACTCTTACACTGGTCTTTGAACGCACCACTGACGTTCTCTTGTCAGTGAGAAAGCAGCAGCTGTCACATTTCTGTGCGTCTGTACTTCATAAACGATACGTACTTTTACTCTTTAGAAGGTAAGGATTACTATCTTTATGCAATAGATAAAGACTGTAATGTATTATTTATTATTTGAGTGGCTAACGTGGGTTTATTTCGGGTCCTGTTGAAATCTCTGGTCTAGTCTGGATTGACAACAACAGAGCTAGCTAGGTTATCATTTCCCACGTTGAAGCTACCACCTGTCACTGCACTGTTAACAGCTCGATTTGACCAAGATTTATAGGGATACTTTATTAGCTTATTGACGTGAAAGCCCCTTCAGGAGCTCAATGTTTTGTGTAAACAATCCATGAGTACTTTAAACCAGATAATGTCGAATAAGGTCAGCGAGCAACACTCGGCTAATGCTAAGCTAACTACTCCCACTCATTTGGACATATTCTTCTGAAATGACCTGATTGCATATAATTTAAGTGTTTCTAAGCACACAGGAGCCTGAGAAACTAGTTGTTAAACGACGTAATTGGAATTAATAAACCAATTAGCACAGTTAGAACAAACTACATGAAGTCGACCAACAGGCAGGACTATTTTTAGAAGCTGATATTAAACAGGACTGCTATCTCAGGGAAAATGTATTCAGGTCTGCTAAGATCTGCAGGAATCCCAGATTATTAACCTCAACTTAATCTGGTTAGTTAGTTGGTGCATCACTTAAAACATGAAGTAAATGATGGATGTTGCAGTATTAAACAACCTTATTTACTTGAATAAAAGCCCAGTAGAGCTGTGTAAAATAATCCCATTACTTAGTGTTTTCTCTACAATGTAGCTTAATTATTAAAGTTAAAGCTTAGTTTCTCTCATCAATCTATTATGTCACCAATACTCAAAGTTCAATTTGTGAGCCATAGACTGTATAAAAGTAACAAAGATAAGCTTAATATCTAGTCTATGATCGAAGTTATGTTGTTTTTTTCCTGCGATGGAGCTACTTGTAGTTTTACAGCAACAACTCTTAAATGTCAGTGGGGAAATATATGTAAGTTGCTTGTAGACAATAAGTTACTTTTTGTTTTAATTTAGAATGTTTTGCATTTTCGATGCATTTCTGTTTTTAAATGGTGCCCGTTTAACCTTTTCGTTTCTACAAAAAGCTTAAGCTTTCCTGTGCACCCATTCTCACACATGCACACGGTGCTTCGTATTCATTTTAAACACTACAATGATCACTTTTATATTTCACTCATACCCCAGTGAGCAAGCCTAACGGCACTTAAGCGCCATGCTGGGAATTGAACCTGCGACCGTCCGATTAGAAGACAGCCTTCCTACAACTGGGCCAAGCTACAATGCTAATTTTTGTAAAGGAAAAACAAGCATCTAATTTATAAACTATTTGTGACCGGTGCTGGCAAAATAAGTCAGAATGAGCTCAGGCAAAAATAAGTGAAAATATAGATTTATTTCTTCTGTAATTAAAAGTTAGCGTTAAAAATTAGTCCATTAAGACAGCATTTACCAGTAACTAAAATAACATATAATCTTTTTAATCTACCTTTAAATTTAAGTTTTCCAGCACATATGTTTTCAGAAATAATCCTTTGTAATTTCCTTTGAAACGGATCATTTTTCTCTGCTGACTGCAGTAGCGCCTGGAAATCCCTTCGTATACTGTGTCATTATAAAGCTTGGGAATTCCCCTTTTTAAAAAAAACAGATCTGGATTCCCGATGACATCACTCCTGACCAACAAATAATCACGCTTTCTAAGCGACATTCTTAAACAAAACGGGCTTGTTGCCATGCCCGGTGACAAATCGCCAGATTTCAACAAACTACAAAATCATTTTAAAGCTTTTTTTTTTTTTGAAGAATCTGAAAATAACTCGGTGTAGAAAAGTTCCACACCGTGACTTATTTTCCCAGCACAGTTTACACACGCAGCCGTAAAATAAATTACTTGGAGGACAAAGTTCATGTTTCTAGCATCAGAATGGATATTAAAGTACTAAAACGGTGCTTGAGCGTCCTCCTTTTTACTAAGTAAATATATCCAGATGGTTTTCGTCCTCGTCTTTTTGTACACACGCTTGTTAAATGTTAGCGTTGTCATCGTGCAGACGCTTTGGCTGCTAAAGCTGCTTCATTATCAAAGAAGAATCTCTGACAGTAGCTTTTTGTGGGAAACATGACAGAAACTAGCTTCTGTAGATTCCTGCATATTAACGTCTGAGAGAACAGGACACAACCTGTTCCTCTGGTATCGCCTCATCGTAAAAATCAGCCGTAACTCTGTTACTTCCTAAACCCGAATCTGCTCGGGGAATCTCGTCGGTAATCTTTGCAGAGTTAGTGATTTTAGCTAAAGCTGTTGTGGAAGTTTTAACCCAGACTGCCACAGTAGTTGAATAAAGTGCAAGCGAACTTTCCAGCTTCTGCTGTTTGAGCCTTTTTTCCATTCAGACTCATCTGATCAGCTGCTATTTATACTAGAACAGCAGGCGATGTCGTTTTAAACGGTTCAGAAGCTAAAACAAGATGGAGTGGGAGACCAAAACAATAAGGGACTTTACATTCCTTTTTTGCTTTCTCTTCCGCCTGCTCGGATTAATACAACGTAAATAAAACAAACTGTAAGAATAAACTCTGATACAGTTCAGCTAAATTGTCTTCTCGATCCCAAACGGCTCTACCACGGGCGTCGCCGTTGTCAACCCATTTTGGTTGTTTCTGTAGGTAACGAATGCACAAGGCAGCGGTATGGCTTCCAGATTTTTCAATAAAAACTTTTCTTTAAGGCGTTGCAGTGGGAGCCATTAAACCTGCTGAAGCTGGTTGTGTTTCTCAGAGCTGCGCTCCTCCATGAGTGCGTTCTCTCTGTGTTTTCCCAGCATGGCGCGCGGCCATCAGAAGATCCAGTCGCAGCAGAAAAACGCCAAGAAGCAGGCTGAGATGAAGAAGGCCAAGGGTCACGACCAGAAGACGGCAGCCAAGGCAGCACTGGTGTTCACCTGCTCCGTGTGCAAGGTGGGCTCTAACTGGACGACACAAACTCCTTCTATTAACTTTACTGTGTGAATGTTTATCGAGCATTCACACTATCGTGATCCATTTTTCTTCCGTATGTTTTTCAGCATTTTTCTCGTTCCTCAGTTTTTGTGCTGTTTCAGCAAATGATAAATCGAAACATTCAGCTCTTTCAGGACAGTCCTGCTCTGACTTTTGGTATTGGTGCACCTTTAGCTTTTTGAAATGTTTAGCCTTTTCTGCCACTTTTTTTTTTTTTTTCCTCACAGAAAATGAATTGAGCTCATTTTACATCCGTCAGATCTTTAGATCTGTTTACAAACTTTTACTGCTCCTTTCACATTTTGTTCTGATTCAGCTTCTTTCAGCTTTTTTGTGCAAATTGAAACAGTTTTTTCAGCTGTTTTGGGCTCCTTTTAGATTCTTTCGGCTAACTACAACATTTTTGTGCTACTTCTAACTTATTTCTTCTAATTTCAGGTTGTTATGCTCCTTTCAGCTTGTTTCAGCCGTTTTTGCTATCTCAGCTACTATTTAGCTGTTTTTTTTGCTAATTTTAGAATTTTCAGCTAATTCCACATTTTTTCACTCATTTAAACCCTTTTCAGCCTTATCCAGCAAAAAAATTGCTCTCCCCACTTCCTTCTAGTGGTTTAAGCTTCTTTCTGCTTTTTAGCTATTTTCAGCTTTTTTTTTTTTTTTTTTTGCTAATTTCTGCTAGTTTTAGATAATTTCCACTTTTTTGTGTTAATTTCTGCCTCTTTCAGCCTAATTGGGCAAAAATGTTGTTTCTGCTTTCTTCAGCCAATTTAAGCTTGTTATACATTTTCAGCTACATTTTTAGCATTTTTGTTAATTTCAGCTGTTTTCAGATAAATTCAAGTTTTTTTGGTAATTTCTGCTACTTTCAGCCTAATTAACTTCTTCATGCTACTTTTAGTTTGATATGCCCCTTTCAGCTTTTTCTGCTATTTCAGCTAGTATGTAGCTGTTTTATGCTAATTTTAGCTTTTCAGCTAATTCCACATTTTTTTTTAGCTAATTTCAGCTCTTCTTCCTTCTGGTATTTTATGCTTCATTCTGCCTTTTCAGCTATTTTTTTGCTAATTTCATAACATAATTCAGCAAATATGTGTTATTTCTGCCTTCTACTGATTTAGGCTTGTTGTTCCATTTCAGCTGTTTTTCGCAGGAATTGCAATTTCTCTAGTTATAATACATTTCCAAAAATTTGCCGGTTGTTTTCTTACAGTCCCAGATGCCTGATCCGAAAACCTTCAAGCAGCACTTTGAGAGCAAGCACCCCAAATCCCCTCTGCCCCCTGAGCTGGAGGGAGTAGAGGCATGAATTGGCCAAACCGGACACCAGAATCCCAAAGGACCCGAATAAAACCCGGCACACAGAGAAGCTCTCCATCTTTGAATGCCTCCTCCCGGTCCAGTTCTAACTGCTCATGCTCAGATACACATAGGGCTACAAATCCAAATCTGGTGATGATTTCAGGGCCAACGCAGACCCGCCTAAACCCTAAACTTCCTGTCTTGTGAATATAACTCCTAACTAGGCTTCAGTGGATAATCCTCATGAAGGATTCAGGTTTGGTGGGAGAACTCAGACGTTTAGGGTGGTGTCGTAAGTGGCCTCGTTTTTTTTTTTTTTTATCGAGCTTTGAGCAGTGAATCAAAAGGAGGCTGCGACCTGTTTTCACCTGTGCACACTGTAATTAAGCTGCCCCGTTAAACTGCAAGATCTCATCTAGATAATTAGTTTGATGTTAGGATACAGAAATATGAAACTTTCCCATTTTGCTGCTCAGATTGTAAGTAAATATGATTCTATTGGAGCCTGCCTGCGAGGTTTGTATGCTTGAAAAATGAATGTCCGCTCCAACAATGTATTATAATACTGTTTTAATAAATTTTACTTTGTCATACACCTTTTGCATGGTCTTTGATGATGTATTTGGACGATGAAGAGAATGACATTTCTGTGGTTAAAGTGATCTGAAAAATGCTTCTTGTTTGATCTGATAGGCGTGTCTGCCACTTTCACTAATGCCATGTGGAGTCTGGGCTTGTTTCTCCCAGCTTGTTACACAGAATTATGTAGTTTTATTTGTCTTATAGTCAGGTAATTACCTACAAAAAGAACTACTCCGATGCTCAATCCAGGAGACCAGCTTTCTGTTTTTGAACATTTTTGAATAAATTAGTGAAAAGTGACAATATGTTTGTATTCAGCCATTTGAAGTCCTAAAAATTTGACTAAAAGCAAGACTTAAAGGGTCAGTATTTGATATTGGGGGCTTGCAAAAATATTCACCCCATAAGCGTTAATTTAGAAGGATGTTTGAAGATTTATGTCTTATGTACGTTACCACTTTACAAATGCCAAATATATATGCGTATATTGTGAATCAACACAAAAACTTAAAACCTGAGCATGCGTATCTAGACCTGTCACGATAAATCAATTAATCACATGATAAATGAAAATTATCTACCTCATTTTCATTTATTGGCTTTATCGTTTCTTCATCTCTCTCTTTCTACTGAAGACACTGGATGACAAAAGGCTCAACTCCGATTTCTTCACTGACCCCTCCCTTTCTCTTTTCTCTTTAAAATCTGTTTTAAATGTCCAAAATCACGTTTTTGGATCATTAAAAGCAGCTAAGCTGAGAAGCTAAGCCAACAGGTCGACCTCGGGGGGGGGGGGGACTCCTCCTTGTTGAAGCTCCAAAATTCACAGTTGAAACCCGTGCCTTCGTGTAAAAAGTTGTTTTGCTTACTAATTTTTCTTAAATTAAGTTTTTTGTGAAAAATGCTATGCTAAAGAGCTCAAACCACACCGAATGTCCACCATTTTGAGAACCAAATAATGGAAGGAGAGACGGCCCATGCCACGTCAAGGGCCCTCCCTCCCATTTTTCTTAAAGACATGCTGCACTCTCTCACTGTCCGTACTTCAGTTCCAACAGTCTTGTACTGCCATCTGGTGGTCGAAAAAAGGTACTACACTCAAAACAAATTAACCAACATTTCTTCTTAAATTTGACAAAATTTGCTAATTATTGTCAAATTTCAAACAATATCATTTATTGCAATAATTTCTGAGACAATCAGCAAAATTTGTTATTGTGACAGGGCTATGCGTAACTAATATTTGCACGTCTCCTGGGTACGCTTCCACAAGTTTCGTCGCTAGAGTTTCTGCCAATTTTTCTGACAAAACTACCCCAGATTCTCAGTTACTTTGAGGTGTGAGCTTTGACTGGACTGTTCTGTTTAATTAACTGGGGCGTTGCGCTGATTGAACCCCCCGCCCCAGCATGTTTATCGCCATGCTTCATTGTTAGGATGCTGTTTTCAGCACGGCGACAGGTGTTCAGTTTGTGTCAGACGTATTAATGCAGGTTTGTTGCAGTTCGTAAAAGTATTTTGCTTTTGTTTAGGGTTTAAATCCAACATTGAGTGTTTATTCTCAACTGCTCAAGACATTTACCGTACCACTTTATTTATAAAGCACTTAGAAACAGCAACAAGGACAGCCAAAGTGCTGTACAGTAACAACTAAACAAGGAAAGGACACAGGATAAAATACATGCATCCAAATAGGTAAAGATGAGAACTAAATGGCTAACATTATAGAATACAGATGTTAAAATCAACTCTCACATTGTCAAAAGCCTGGGAATAAAAGTGAGTTTTTAAACGAGACTTGAATACAGAGAGAGGAGGGGCCTGCCTGACATGCAGTGGTAAGTCATTCCACAGTTTTGAACCTTCAACAGAGAAGGCCCTGTCACCTCTGAGCTTAAAACAAGTGCCTGGAACCAATAAAAACATTTGATTGGCTGACCTCAGAGAGCGCTGTGGGACATATGGCTGTAGCAGATCAGTGAGCTAGGAGGGGCAGAACTATTCAGAGATTTAAAAACGTAAAGAAGGATTTTAAAATGAATTTGAAAGTGAACCAGGAGCCAGTGAAGGGAGGCCAAAACTGGAGAAATGTGCTCTCTTTTGCCTGTACCGGTTAAAAATCAGGCTGCAGCATTTTGGACCAGTTGTAAACGTGCAATAGAGGTCTGATTGATTCCAAAAAGAAACACATTGCATTAATCAAGCCTTGATGTTATGAAAGCATGTATACCGGTAACTGTTTCAAGGCTTCAATTTTTAGACAGTCGCCTCAACTGAGAAAAACAGGATTTAACAATCGTGTTTACATGACTGTTTAGTTTCATGGAAAGGTCCATTATCACTCCCAGATTAGTGACCACTTGTTTTTCTAACAGGGCTAGAGAAGAAAGGTTGATACAGTGGTTCTTGATTGTGCCATTAGGTGGAAAAAACACGACTTCTGTCAGCTTATTAAAATTTAAGAAATTTAAAGCCATCGAGTCCCTGATGTCAACCAGGTAGTCAAGAAGAGGTTGGTTAGAACGTGTACCAGTGCGCTTCAGAGGGAAGTAAATTTGACAGTCATCGACATAAAAATGCAAAGGTATGCCAAGTTTACGAGAAACAGCACCTAGTGGCAGCAGGTATAAAGAAAAGAGAAGAGGGCTGAGAATGTACCCCTGCGGTACCCCCCACTGAAGAGATGCCGATGTTGAAATAAAATCCTTGATGTTGACACAAAAGGTTCTGTCGGAGAGGTAGGACTTAAACCATTTGAGAGCTGACCCTGTGATGCCCACCCACTGCTCCAGCTTAGAACTGAGGATCTCATGGTCAGTGGTGTCAAAAACAGATGTAAGGGCCAACAGGACAAGAAGTACAGAATCGCCTGCATCCAGGGCTAGGAAAATATTAAAAACCCTCAACAGAGCAGTCTCACTGCTGTGGAGAGATTTGAAGCCTGATTGAAACACCACCGAAATAGAAAGATCCTCTAGGAAACATTTCAACTGGGAACTATTTATTACAAAACAATCCTTTATTCTAATTTACGCGAATGTTCGTAAGCGTTGCTTCTTCCTGTCAGCTGTGAGTAGAAAACTGTTTAAAATGCAGCACTTAAAAACAGTTTTGTCATTTATCGAGAGAAAAATAATGCCCCATTCATTTTCTGAACAATTCCAGTTGAATCATTTTGCGTCAGAAAGTATTGGTTTCTCTTTATTATGACTACAGATGAGACGACCCACGCTGCCTGTTGCTTTAAGGCTGCGAGTGACTCGGTTCAGTGAGTCATAGCCCACATTGTTCCCCAGAGTCCACAAACATCATCCACATCCTTCCCAGCTGGAAACTTGTGAATGAAAGAACACCACACGAGTTCATTCACATGAACATAAAAAAATCGCTAGCTGGGGTGTTCTGGTCTGCCTCAAATTAAGCTGAAATGTAAAAGAAAAGTACTTGCTTAAAATAAAGGGTTTAATAGAGTGATGTTTTAATTAGGACAAATTCTCCCGAGCTGTGGGTCACCTATTTTCACAAACCTCTGAGCACCAAGTGTGAACCAGATTAATGCTAAAAAAGTGATATTTCCATTTTGACGTCAAGTCGTAGCTTTTTCAAAATGATTCATGTGTCCTTCAGAGACGACTAAATAAGAGTCATGGGTCCAATCAGCTATTACTCACCAGTTATTGAGTGGGTGCAGTGAATGAAAAAGCCATGCCCACTTCTGGTTCTACAACAAAACATGAAACAACTTGCACGACCCCCTGGTAGGACAGACTGAGTTTAACTTCCTAAAAGGCCAGGAGGACAGCCACAGACATTTAAACCTGAATTTACTTTGAAGTTGTGTTAAGCAACCAAATCTCAGCCCTTCCCAGGGGCACCATCAAGGGTGGGCACGGTGGGGTCAATGGCCACTCCTAAAAAACATTGTCACACAGCAAACCTGAAATTCTATTCTGGCTTTTGATTTTGGTGTGCCACCCAAAGATTTTCAATGGTTTTTGTAACTTTTATACTTTTCAAAATATTAAACTGTATATATGGAGGAGGATGACTCGCTGTAGCAACCTCTGAAGAGGAACAAGCCGAAAGAAGAAGTACCGGCATTCACAATTTTTTTTTTTTAAACAAAAATACATTAAGATCTTTTTGATTTCTTTAAAACAATTCCCTCTTGAAAATCTGCTGCAGTATTTGTGCTCTATTTTGTCTTATGCTTCTTTTACTTGTAGCTAATTCTCCAACTTTTAGCAGCCTTTTTGCTACTTTTCATTTTTTCTAGGCTTTTGCTACTTTAGCTTCTACCTAGCATTCTTCTGTTTTTAGCAGTTAGCTAGCATTTTGCTGTTTTCAGTTTTTAGACAGCCTTTGACGAAATTTAGCTTTTCACTTGCTGTCTGGTACGTTTGCATTTGGCCACTTTTGGCTTATAGCTGGCATTTTACTTTTAGCTAGTGTTTAGCTCTTTTTAGCATCTAGCTACTATTTTGCTTCTTTTGGCAGTTAGATATCGATTTTATATTTTTATATTTAAGAATTTTTTTCTGCATAGAGCCTTTAGCTATATGCAGCTTTTAGCTATATAGCTTTGCATTTGGCCACTTTAGGCTTTTAGTTAACATTTAGCTAGCGTTTTGTCATTTTAGCTTGCCATTTCTATCTATCTATCTATCTATCTATCTATCTATCTATCTATCTATCT